AAATTACATCTTACATCAAATTGGCCTAACAAACATCTACAGAATATTCCACGCAAGCCTCCAAAGATACACTTCCTACTCACCAGCCCATGCAAGTGTCTCTAAAACTGACCATATGGGTACACAAAACAAGCCTCAACAAATATGAAAGAAAGAAAGAAAGAAAGAAAGAAAGAAAGAAAGAAAGAGAAATTCCATGTACTCTATCATACCACAGTGCTATAAAGCTTATAATCAACAACAAAAGGAGCTCTCCTAACTACAGGAACTCATGGAGATTAAACAACACACTCCTGAATGAAGAATGGGTCAAAGAAGAAATGAAGAAAGAAATGAAAGTATTCCTGGAACTAAATGAAAATTATAATACAACACATTAAAAACCTCCGGGACACTTTAAAAGCAGTGCTAAGAGGAAAGTTTTTAGCTCTAAGTGCCTACATTAAGAAATCAGAAAGAGCAGATATCAATGGCTTCACAGTACAACTCAAGAATCTGGAAAGGTGGGAAAAACCAAACCCAAACCTAGTAGATGAAAAGAAATAACAAAAATCAGAGCAGAGATTAATGAAATACAGAGAAAATAATACAAAGACAATGAATCTGAAAGTTGTTTCCTTAAAAGTTAAACATGATAGAAAGTCCCTTAGCCCAGTTAACCAAAAGAACAAATTCACATGAATAAAATCAGAGATGAAAGAGGAAACATCATGACATCAAAAGTCCAGAACATTAAAGGGATCTTTTTAAAAACCTATGCTTTAGTAAATTTGAAAACCTAAAAGAAATGGATGAATTTATTATTACATTTTTTGGTCATTTTGAGACAGAGTCTCCCTGTAGCCCCAACTGGCCTAGAACTCACAATGTAGACCAGGCTAGCCTCGACTGACAGAGATCCACCTGCCTCTACCTCCCAAGTGCTGGGACTAAAGGCCTGCACCACCATGCCCAGGTAAAAGTGGATGAATTTATAAATTCATGGAAACCACCAAAGTTAAACCAAGAAGATATTAAACAGCCTTAAAAAACCTGTAACCAATAAGGAAATTGAAACAGACATGCATAGCCTCCCAACTAAAACAAGCACAGCTCAAATGGATTCATGCAGAATTCTACTAGACATTCAAATATCCACAACCAATACTTCTTAAACTATTCAAAAATATGGAAACAGAGGGAGAACTCCCAAGATTCTTCTATGAAGACAGTATTACTCTAATACCCAAACCACATAAAGACACAACAAAAACTATAGGCCCAAAACCTTAGTCAACATAGATGCAAAATACTTTCAAACTGTAAACACACACAGACACACACAAACACACTCCACATCAAAAAGATCATCCACTGTATTCACGATAATCAAGTTGGCTTTATTTCAAAGATACAGGAATGTTTCAATGTATCTAAGCCAATGATTGTAATAGATCATATAAATGAACTTAAAGACAAAAATCACATGTTCATATCAATCGATACAGAAAAGGCCTTTGAAAAAGTCCACATGCATTCATGTTCCTGAGGGAAATGACCAGAAAATATACTTTAACATAATTAAAGCTATACACAACAAACCCATAGCCAGCATCAATGTAAATGGAGAAAAACTGAAAGCACTCCCATTAAAATCAAGAAGCATACAAGGCTGTCTTCTATCTCCACGCCTTTTCAATACAGTGCTTGAAACTCTTACTAGAGCTTAAGACAAGAGACAGAAATGACAGGAGCACTAATTGGAAATGAAGTGATCCAATTATCACTATTAGCAGACGACATAATATTATATATAAGAGATCATAAAAATTGCACCAGAAAAGTGCTAGAAATGTTTAATACTTCCAATAAAAAAGGATACAATTTCAACTTAAAAAAATAGTAGATTTCTATATATCAATAACAAGCAAAATTCAATAAGCCTATTTGAGAAAAACAAACAAAGAAACAAACCAATAAACAATGCAAAGCCTCACCACCAGACTAGATCAGGAACAATGCAGAATATCAAGGCTTGAAGACAGGTTGGAAATATGGATCACTCAATGAAAGAAAATAATACAATAAATGATCAAACAAAAAGAAGTGTTCTGGGGGCTGGAGAGATGGCTCAGTGGTTAAGAACACTGGTTGTTCTAGCAGAAGATCCGGGTTCGAATTCCAGCACCCACATGGCAGTTAGCAACTGTCTGTAACTCTAGTCCCAGGGGGGATCCGACAGCCTCTCCTGACCTCCATGGGCATTGCATGACATGGATGCAGTTACCTATATGCAGGCAATACACTCATACACATAAAATAAAAATAATAAATAAAATAAAAAAGAAGTGTTTCATGCTGTAACACTAGAGAAAGCCAACAGTGAGATTCAGACTTTATCTTCTACACTGATATGAAATCACTCTAAAAATTGATACAGTGACTGCCACCATGGGGAGATTTTAAAACAAGCTGGATAATCATTTTCTTCTCTATGTAAATGAGGTGCCACTAAAAAGAGAGAAGTGAGTAAGAGGGGAGAGGTTCCCTTAAGTGACATGGGATAGCAGAGCTTGGAGGAAAAGAAAGTGCAGAGGAGGAGCACTAAAGGTGGAACTACTTGGGAGGAAGGAGGAAGGGGTGGAGGAGAATAACATTTGGATGTGGTAGGATTAGGTAGGATGGAGGGACTATAAAGAAACCACTGGTAAAGGAAGAACCACACAGCTTGACTGCTAGGAGGGTAACCAAGTTCCCTCTCATCAAAGACCCACTAAAAGGGAGAAAGCAGGAGGGCCGCCAGTGCATGGCACTGTAAGATTAGTAACCTGACACAGGCTAGGAGGCAGTCAGCCTTCAAAGAGAGGAGCATATTTCTGATGGCTAACTAAACTGACACAGGAGCAAACTTCTTCCTAAACTCTCATGCTCATGCACACAGACAAAACCTGCCCCAAGCGTTCAGGCTCTCTTTACAGTGAAGAGTAGTGGATGCAGAGACCAATGGCAGCTCAAGATGCAGAATATAAACGATGGATGCAGACGGAGACAAATAAGCCACTTATAATAAGCCCTCTATGAATCAGAGAACATTGAGCCAGAGGTGGAGGCAGACTTGAAGAGCTGGAAGGGAGGGAGGTCTAACAACGCAATCCTCTGGACTCAGTACAAACAATGTAATAATTCATATCAGATTTAGTGATCTGCACTGGGTCTGAGCAAAGCCAGCCCCATCAACAATCAGGAAACAAAGGGGCTACAGAGTGATAGCTTGTCTCAAAATCACAAAGAAAGGGAGAAATAAGTTGAGGAAGTTAGGAAAAGCATCCAAGTCAAGTGAGTGACATGAAGAGAAATTCTCATAAGGCAAATTTATATCAAGTTCCACGAGAAAGAGAAAAGATAACACATTCTTCACGTACTCAGGAAGAAAACATTGTTTTATGTCGAGAGAAAGCACATTTGGTTGATGTGTTCTGCACCATAAACTGTGCTTAAATGTTGTGCTTCCAGGTCTAAGATAGTAAGTCTTTTGTAATACTTCCACTTCTGCATAAATTTCTCATTGATTTTGCACAATGGTTTCCAAGTGCTTAAGTGCATTATTACAAGTCTGGTACACAAAAGACAAGTGTATAACCACGGATGGAGTCTACACAGCAAACATCCACTTCCTCACTGATACATGGAAGACACAAGTCCAACCTCGGTGGAACTGAGCTTCATTCTCTTTCTACTTTTACCATCACATCAGAAACTTTTTCAGTATTACAGGTGACAAGTTCATGGAGAAAGATGACCATAAGAGAAAAGGAAGCCCAAAAGCTGTGGCAAACCCTCTCCAGACAACATCAAAAGCAAATATAGGCTCACAGGAGCACAATATAGAACACTTCTAGGGAAAGAATATGGACATGGCCGGTAACATAGGATATATTCACTGGAGCCCTGGTCGTTTCTCTCCTTTTCCCTTTGCTAAGTTTCTGTCTCACGGACAATAATCTGCTCTATTTCACCTTCTGCCTGAGGGCTTGCTTTAACAGGCAGCAATGAACTACCTCCAGCTGTCACTCCCACACCCACAGGCAGAACACCTCAGACAGCAGAAATGCCTCAAGACCCCATTTGGTAGTAACTGCAACTTCAGAACAACAGACTCAAATAAAGTGCCAAAACGTGAGCTTCTCCATTCCTGTTTTCATGAGATGTTCTCTGCAGTCAAGAATGGAAGTTTCTGCTGTAGTCATAGGAATGTGGGCTTCACTGACCTACTTGAGCCAATCCAGACCGAGCAGGAACTGTTACATCTTTTAGGATGAAGACTTCTAATTCAAATGTCAGTTAGAAACCTTGTGGGTGATGCTCCAGCCTCACTTTGTTTTTAAGTGGTAAGTTTACTTAGAACAGCACTGGTTTCTACTTTATTTAGAATACTCTGTGGCAAACACACCAATGAAGCTATGTCTTCTAACTCACCCCGGGAACCTAATTGGAATCCTGGGCTGAGAATGTTTTGGGAAACTGCCTCACAGGCTTTTTCATGTATGTAAATCATTTGGTGCCCATGTCACCCTGCAAGGAATTGTAATTCTGTGTTGTTGATTTGAAGCCCATGGTTTGACTTCCTTCACAAGTTCCTGTTACTAGCGTTGTTTCTCCCCCTAGATTCATTGTCAGGAGCATGAGGATGGACAAAGCAAGGTCAGAACACAAGGTCTACCTCAACACAAGTGCAAATAAATACAGTGGATACTCATTGAAGATTAAAAATCACAATACTGGGGCTGGAGAGATGACTAAGCAGTTTAGAGGATTAGCTGTTCTTATGGAAGACTCGGGTTCAAATTCCAGCACTCATATGGTGGCTAACAACCATTTGTATCTCAAGTTCTGGGAATCCAATGCCCTCTGCAGGCATCACATAACACGGATGCACTTACATTCAAGCAGGCAATACATACACACATGTAAAATAAAAATGATTCATAAAATATTATCAAAAGTAAAAACATCACAATACTGTACTAAAAGCTAATTTGGGGAAAAGTTTTTAATAACCTTTTCCAACTTGGGCTATTAGCACAGTGGCTAAGACCATATTCCACAATGGCCTATACCACTTAGTATGGGTCACTACTATCTTGTGGCCTAAACTAATTGAAAAATGAAAAAAGAAATCCACAATACTCAGCCATAATATTTTTTGATGTCACTTTGAAGTTTATAAAAAGTGAGACATTGCTGGTATCTCAGTAAGCATGTTTGTAATAATAATTCATATGACATCATCCTGAGTTTATTGAGAATGTTCTCCATGTTCTCACAATGCAAAGGTTCTGTCACAGGGAAACTTGCACAGAGTCAGCACTATGCTGACAGGTAGGCCCTGAAATTCCTATAATCACTGTGAGAATTCAGGTCTTAACATCCATTTCTGTATTTCTTCTTTTGGCTTATCTATATTGATTTAAAATCAATTGCCTGGGCTGGAGAGATGCCACAGTGGTTGAGAGCACTGACTGCTCTTGCAGAGGACCAGGGTTTGATTCCCAGCACCCACATGGCAGCTATGAACCATCCTTAACACCAGTTCCAGGGGAATCCGATGTCCTCTTCTGACCTCCATATCACTGCACAACATGGGTGCACTCACATACATGCAGGCAATACACTCATACACATAAAATAAAAAGAATAAATAAAATATTTAAAAACACAAATAGAATCAATTGCCATGTTAGAGCTAAGTTTGTGGCTATGAGGACACAGAAAAGAAGGGTACAGATGTAGCTCAGAAGGAGGAACACAGGTAGCTTTGGTTTTTACAATGTCTGTAACATTTTACATGGTACACTATGATGAGTTTTCTCATATCTTGCTTTTTGATCAAATTAGGGCAAAGGGCAGACATGCACATACTGGGTGTGGTGGTGAGATGAGTGTGTATACTGAAAAATTTAAGCTATGAGTGTTGTACATGGGTTGTTCTCAGATTTCATACCCACTTCCCCAGGTTGATGTTGGGATTTTGTGTGGTTTGAGGTGACATGGGAATTGGCCATGCTGTTGGCATTGCTGTGACATCATATGAGTATACAACCAACTGTCTAGAAAACTGTATTTCCTTGTGGTCATCCATCGTCTCTGGCTCTTACAATATTTTTTCCTCCTTGTTCACAATTATCTGTGCAACTTGGGGGGGTGAGTAGTATAATATATAAATAGAAAAGCACTCTTTCTTAAGATACTACATGCATACATGACATGCTCCCTATAGAACAAACAAGGAGAAATCAAGTTGGTGCTGACTTCAGAGCCTGATCACTACTAGCTAGCTTTCTTAGTGCTGGAAGGTACTATGCATGCCACCAGAAGGAAAAACAAATCATCAACATTACCCAGCAGAAAATACTGGAACTGTCACAAGTGGTCAGGCAAGACATGCCCACTAGTGTAAAATGAGATGAGTATTATGGCAGTAAACACCCACTCACTAATTCAACTGAAGGTCCACTTCAATGAGGGGAGCCCATACCTGACTTTGATATCAGGCTTAGGAATCTGAGGCTAGACAGGTCACAGGGCCTAGTGGGGGAGCCTAGTACTAGTTTTCTACTAAATAGTTATAATATTAAACTGACTCCAAATGACTTAGTGTTAGATTAAATTGTTGGTCAACTCTCAGCAGAGAAGATTCTTTATGCAGCAGGAGGTGATTAACACAGAAGCCTAAAACTGGCCAATGTCCAAAAAATAAAGCTAAGCTAAATAAGCTGATACATATTATAGAAATTAAAGATGAATTCTTAACATCAATATTGACAATGCAAAAATATGAAGAATTGAAATGCTTATCAATGTCAAATGTAGATTAATAAATATAAAGAAGTTAGTCAGATTTACCTGGCATTACTCAGTGATTCCTCCATGACAAGCAGCACATGAGATCTCATGTGTGCCTTTCCTGTCCATCACATTTCACCCTGGAGCCTAAGGATCATGTACTGCAGATATCTTTATGAACCACAAACCTTTCTTTCTTAGTATGCCACAAAACCTCTAAGAAAAGACAAGGACTGTCAAAGAAGTTGCCCTTCTGACATCTTGGAGATTGCCCAGACACCCTGCAAGACAGAACACGAAGACCGACTCTCAACAGTCAGGACTGCCAGGCTCAGTGGTACATGCTTTTCATGCCCGCACCCAGGAGGCAGAAGCAGATGGATATCTGTGAGATGGAGGCCAGTCTGGTCTACAAGTGGGATCCATGCTGGCTGGGGCTATGGGAGACCTTTTCTAAAGAATAATAATAAAAATAAGACACAGTCAAGACAGTGCACATTGTTTGAGGAGAAAGCACACATAGCAAAGGAAATTTGAAACAGTGTCAATAAAGTAGTAGAATTCTCACATTAGGAATTTCTATAGATAATGTTTCCAAACGGCTGCTGCCTGCTGAAGGGTCCAAAAGATGTAGAGACGACACTTTCTTCTCTCATATTTCTTCTTTGCTTTTATTCATTTCACAAATTGTGTTTAATACTCCTCCAAGGTTAAAGAAGCAGAGTAGGGACATTTAACTGAGTTTAATGTTATTATACTTGGATGACATTAACGAGGGCATGGTCTGCCCCAAGCTTTTGGAATATGAATAGATCTTTCTATATGTTTATAAATGTCTGGTGAGAGGACAGATGATTGCTTAGGGGAATCTGGCTAAAAATACCTGAGTGTCCTGGCACGGGGATGGAGTCTAAGGGAAGGACACTCAGCCAAGCCAGGAATGACAGAGAGGGAGGAGGTTGCAGAGTAAAAGCACAGTGCTCTTCAGTGTCTCACACTGTGAAGGGCTTGAGCCCATCAAGGATTTCTCATAGTATTACTCAGAGAGTGAATTTTGAAAATAAACAACCATGTCTCTTTAAAAAACTACATATCTTGAATATATTGTGGTGATAGCACAATATATTGTGGGAAGTAGTAATCAGATATGTGTTCATCATTTGAAAAATAATGAAAGGCATTTGCATGATGATGAAAGAAGGTACAGAAACATGGAAAGTTTCTCACCTGGGTAAGGATGCAATGTGGCAGGATGCAATATGGCTCTAGTTTCTAGGAAGACCCTGGAGATATTGGTGCTATGGATGAGTTGGACCTGATTCTTCTGCCTGGACAGGATGTAAACCATGGAGCTGCTGGCTCAGAGCATGAGGCTCCCATACAAGTCATCAGTGATGGGGAACAAAGTTCTCTTACTGAACAGCAGAATTTTGGATTTGGTGGAGCAGAAAAGGACTCATAACCAATTTCCCTTAAAGGGTCTTTAAAATGCTCATGTGGAAGAAGCTGCTGTAAGACCCCATGCCCCCCCCAACTCAACCTGATAAGACACCACCAAAGATTCCTGAGAAGTTCACAAGGAAGTCTCCAAGCTAAAACTGTCATTTTGCTCTGGCACATTTCTCAAGAGAATAAGCACAAAATTGCCCAAGTCATGTGACTGATAATATAAGCAATGGATTTGGGACATCCAATGGGACATCAATAGCAGCACAATAACCACACTCCACTCCTATATGTACATGAGACTCACAAAATCTTGCTTGGACCCACACCTGGATAGCACATCAGAGAACCCAAACACAGCTGAAGACCTGCAGATCCCATGAAACTTCAAATGCAATGCTGTGTGAAATATCATAAAGGTGGATGAGGCAATCTATAAATTAATGGATGGTAGTTTGGCAGAAGTGTGTGTAGGAAAGGGAAATCCAGAACTAGAATAGATACCGATTTCAACAATGATAGTGGAGTGCACTTTCTATAAAGGAACTCCAATGTAGACACCAGTAACAACGTTGTGGTCTGGTCTCAGTAGAGAATGGTCCAAATTCAGGCACTGAATGATGGACTTTGGCTATGTATGGTTTAGCATAAAGTTACAGCTGTTGCCACATCAGTCTTGATATACAGAAAACCATGTTGATGACCTTATGCATAAATTCTATATCTGCCACTACTGCCCGTTTGTTCATGGAGCCTTTGGAAGTTAAATGGATGGAGAGGGGATGAGGTTGATTATTAAGAAAATGGTAGTTCTGCCAGGTGTGGTGATGCATGCCTCTACTCTCAGCATGCAGGAGGCAGAAGCAGGTGGATCTTTATGAGTTCCAGGCCAACCTGGTCTAAATCAGAAGTTCCAGACCAACTGGGGCTACAGGGAGACCCTGTCTCAAGAAGACCAAAAAACAAAAAACAAACAACAAAAAAAAGAATGAAAATAATAGCTCTATTTACTTGTTTAATGAAACCTCACTCTGCTGAGGTCACTTTTTGATGAGCATATACATGGAACACAATTATCGTCACATCTTTTGTCCAGTTACAGTGATCTATCCACTTGTCTTTACACCAAATAACTTTCTACCCAATTTTCCAGGTATGCTTCTTCAAAGTCTCTGAATGTGCAGCCAAACCACTGGCTTAGCTCATGATTCAGTAAATAATCACACTTCTGTGCATTTCTCTTTCCAAGAGAAATGCATGACCATGAACACTGCTTGAAATATGATCACTGTGAAGATTTAACCACTCTTATTCAGAAATGTGACAGAAACATACTAAAAAGATTCACCTCTCCACTTGTGGGTCATGCCTCCATAGCACGTAAAATCATCAGTGATGTAGGTACTAATAGTTTCTCAATTAACAGACAAAAGGAAACAGGTAGTGAGATCATAGGTGCATTCCTGAGGAGGAGTGTATTTTAGGAGTTATAGCATCTATAGGGAATTTGCTCATTTCTTCATGTAACTTAATATAACTTCAGAAATTGCTTGTCCCTGATCATAAGTACCATTTCCTTTGGATGATAGACCACTAAGGTGTGTGTCCAAATTTATGACTTATTCAGCTAGATAACACACAGATCATGATAAGTGCTCAGAGTACAAGGTGGTGTGTTGATATCTCTTCAAGAATACAGTAGGCACAATAGGGAGTGTATTAGCTACTTTTCTGCTGCTGTGATAAAACACCATGACTAAGGGAATTTACAGGAGGAAGAGTTCATTAGAGGTTATGGTTTAAATTTCTGGAGGAATTAGGGTCTGTCATGGATGGGGGGGCATGGTGAAGTGGCTCTGGTGAGCA